CATGTGTATTTCTTTCTTAGTATACTAAACTCAAAGACCCGATACAGTTAGATCATAGCCCCGAGCTACTTCCTCCACTCCCCTAGAAATCTAGACACTATTTCAGTAGAGCACAAACCACCTTTATTATAATTACTATTAAGCTATTAAGCCACATGAGTCAGTCAAACAAATTTCAAAGGAAAAAAAGAGAAAAGTAAAAAAGATGGAGCACTAGTAATTATCGGATTATGAATGTGCCCACTCTGCTATGGAGATTTTAAATAGAGCAGCTATTCTTTGGACTCAATTTGCTTTACACAATGCAAAGATATTGTAAAAAAAAAAAAAAAAGAAAAAAAAAAGATGTTCTGCAAGGAGAGGCTCTTTTAATGTTAACAACACAAAAAACAACAAACCAAAAAAGACCAGGAGAGCTCCTGTGCTTTATTCCCAGTAAATTCGCAATTACGGAGGAAGTAGGCAGGTGAAAGTACTACTAAAAAGTTTAAAGCACTTTCATTTTAAAGCTGACAGTAACTCATAGGAACATGTGCAATAACCCATGAATATGAGTTACATCTGAACACTTGAACAGTATTCTTCTGAAGGACCACTATTCTCCTTATGCTATCCTTCAGAAATTTTCACATCATCTGACTTCCACCATGCAAATTTCCTTAGAATTATTTTGGGAAGTCAGCAAGGAATGAGGCCTGACCTGCAAGCTAATGCAGAAAAAGTGTAAACACTTTGTGATTAATGTAACACAGTAATTCCTAAGGAATTCCACAGGACATATCAGCCAAGTACAAATACTTTCATTACTTGCTAAAAGAGAAATATTTCAAAGATGGACTGAATTCTTATTCCATATCACATCCATGACCTAATGATGTACAAGTGCATTTCCATACTCCCTTCTGCTCAAATACCTTATTGATGTTTTAAAGATGACATTTAGCTAATCCTTGAATTTTAATTGAGAAGCTCAGTGGAGAACTAAACAGTATTATATACACTTCTTCAGAGAGATTCACAGGCACCATTTTGCTTCATAACAATCTTCCTCAGTATGCTCTATTATTTTAAAAACAATACATTACGAGTGCTCTCTTTTGCTCAGGAAGCACCTAAAAAGCACATAACCTCTCCTTCAATATCAAAGTGAAACCCTGGAAAGGAAAAACTCAATTTGCATTAAAATACTTGTCATTAGTTACAGTATCCAAGTTGCTCAAGTTAGTATATAATCCCCAAAATATTTAACTTCTGCTGTTAGATATCTCCAAGAATAAACACACAGGGTTTTTTTTTTTCAATGAACTGATTACTATTACAAATCAGGAGATATAAAACTGGAAGTTAACAGTGCAGCATCTTGCACCTTTGTGCAACTGCCTCAGCTGACAGGGAAGGAAACCTGCCCGCCTGCCTTCGTATGTGCTACTCAAAACAGAAAATTTCCCAAAGCCAAGACTCTGTCTCGAACACTGGACAGACCATTTCTGTGGCTTTAATGTCACTGTCTTAACACATCCACCCAGAGGTTCCCTGTTAAAATCACAAGTGTCATGGTCAAGGACATATTTTAAGAATATATATCCGTCCTTGGTCATGTCCTCAGCCTGACTTCTGAAGCTGTCACCTTGCATCTCTTCGCAACTCTAGCAACTTATCAATTCTGCACTTACACCAATCCAATAAAGGCTCTCAGGAAAGCTCCATATGCATACATTTTCTGCCACAGCCCACTGGATACATGTCTCTTGAGGTTCTTCCCCCAATATCATCATCTTCTTCCCGCACAGTCATTACACTCCACACTCTGCTAAACAGCCAAATCCTGATGTCCTTTGATCACATATACAAAACCAATTAAAATGAGGGATGAAACTCCAGGGAGGGTCAGAGAATAAACATAAAACTGGAAGCAATTTCCCAAGTGACGCAAGAGAACAGAAGTCTCTTTTGTAGCCTAGCTAGTTTCAGTGACTTTTACCACATTGACAGAGTGCCATTATGGCAGAAAGGGAACCATTGGTGTTACTATGACTACATGAAGACATTTGCCACATGGTTTAACCAAAGGCCAAGAGCTCATGCTGATTTTAAGCTACTTCTCACTTCAGTACTATATGTACTCAAAGCATACCAAAATCCCAGATAACTTATCTAAAGTGTTCTCTAACTCACAGCATGCAGATGCAGCCAAGTGAGCTAGACGAATTTAATACTGAGCCAAAAGTAGACACATGAAGATAAGCACATTATTTGTGCAGACATCTTTCATACTCACAACATACACAATCAGGTTATTTAAACAAGCTTCAAACATTCTTAACATAATACTTTACAAAAATAATCTCACAATTTCATATTTGTTTTTTAAACACAGCCATGGAAACAGTCTTAAACATCCATTTGACCTGCCTTTGCAACTGGAAGCTAACAAAGTGTTAACCTAGGAAAACACAGTGAAATTATGCATTTTCTAAATTGTCCAAAATGAAAAAAAATGCAATATTAATAAACAGACCTGGGGTCTGTCGAACGAGATTATCTGAGACTCTCAGATTTTTTGTGTTTCCTCTGTCTTTAAGTGTCCTTTAAATGCTAAGCAGTCCATGAGCACACAGGATCTGGTCTTTCACAATGAGGTAGAAGTACTGTCCTGTCACATTCATAGAAGACAGAGATAACAGAATCTCTGACTGAACATTTACTCATTATCAAAGCCTTCTATGACAACAGTTAACAACAGAAAACCTAGAAAACACAAAGCCACAGCTGACTGCCACCCACACTGTTAAACAACATATGAAAGAGTTGTTTCCCTGACCCTATAGAGAGACCCTCACCTGCTGTTCAACAGAACACAGAACTCTTCCTCCCTCAGGTCTTTGAAGCTGTAAGGAGGGAAGAGCACTGGATTTTCAGATGAAGCATTAGGGACAGTGCCACTTGCCTGAAGGGCTCTGACTACAGGAAGTGACACTGGACCAGCCTTGTTAATTTCATTCTCTCTCTAAGATGATCAAAAGATGATAAGCAGAAACTTGAAGCAAAGGAACCACTGCTGCTTTGCACAGCCTCATCACATAAAGCTGTATTTGAAAAGCTGTTTGCCACAACTAATGTTTTACAGATTTATCTGTAAACATTTAACTTCAGAGGATCCTTTCAACTGCACTTGCCAACATTCAAGAGAAAAACTTTACACTTACTTCCCTGGAAAAGGTCTTGCAAACCTCAGAACAAGATAAACTGATTATGAAATAGAATAGTTGCCTTCAATGACATTCAAAGCTCTGGTGGAGTGAGGTTTTTTGTTCATGGTTTTTTGGTTGTTTTGAAAAGGAAAATGCTATATACAGAGATATGACACATCTAAACCAATTACCTCCAACTATATGCTGCATTTTTCCAGTCTATAACTTTATTTTAAAATATTTTACAACAAACTACAGCTTCTTTTATATTTAGAGGTGCTTTAAATTATTGCTGGCTTGGGTTGCAGGACACACAAAATCACTGTAATTGTTTTAATAAATCTGTGCTCACACTTGCACATCCCCTGAACTTCAACCCAGTCACTACCAGGGTCCTCCTCTTCACCTCTCATGTTTTCTTCTGCATACCCTAAACAGAACCTCTCTCTCCTTAGACAAAATAAACATTCACATCTAGAGAGTAACTGCAAACTGCTTTTTAATGCCTTCTGACTGTACATTTTTTCTTGTCCTCTCGCATATCCCATCTCATATTTAAGTTGTGTATTTTCAAGAGCAGAAGCTGTGTTTTACTTTGTAAAGTGTCCACCCTGAAAGGGCTGCAGCAATAGCTGGTCTCTCAATGCTTCCTTAATAAAAACACTGATCTGTTCCACAGTTTACTTTCTCCTTGTTTCTTTAAAACTTAATCAGAGAACAGACATAAGAACACACCACATCCACAAGGTGACAGAGAGTAAAGGGTCTAAAAGAGGATCCTCTATCAATAAAAGTCAGAAACCTTTACTCACATTATAGGTCAAGGACACAAGATCTCCAAATGAGAGCACTGGAAGTGTAGGGAAAGAAAGCATGCCTTTTCCCACTTTTCCCTCTCCTCTTAAGTTACCTTCTAATAATGCGGGAGCATTCAGTAAGCTGAGGTCCAAAATTCTGGGTATGCCAAGTACCACCATAAACAAATAACATCTTGCACTAAAGCTCAGTTACAGCCCCAATTACAAACACTGAGCTTTGCACAACACAGTGTGTTCCGACAGTAGTGTTTCACTGTCCTGCTTGGGTATGTTTTCTTAGAGGCTACAGTATTAACAGGAGTATACAGGTGGGGTTGAATTTTTGCAATTTAGCAACAGATTAAAAAGTTATTTTGATACTTTATAATAACCCTTTTAAACACGCAACAGCAGCGATAAACATCCCCAGCTTCAGCGAGAAAAAACACACACTTCTTCACAACGATTTAATGGCAGAAATGTTAAGAAGATACTGCACAATAACACATGATCTTCCGTATCACATGCTTGGCAGTATGCTCGATTCACAGTGATAACTCCGCTCAGACCCCAGGCGCACTTCGAGCGGTTACACGGCAGCTCTACAGCTGCTTTCTGACACCCCACACAGGGAAAGAGCCTCTCGCTGGACTCGGAGGGCCTAGAGCCAGGGCGAGCCAGAGTTCCCCCGGAGGCACCGCTCTGCAAGGGTGCAGCTCTCCGTGCACGGCCAGCAGCGGCGATGGGTAGGACCCCGCTGAGTGCAGCCAGCAAGGGGCCGCCGTACTGCGAGGAGACGCTGCCACAGCCTCCCCCCCCACACTCCCCATTCAATCTGTCCCGCAGCCCCGAGCACCCGGGGCAGCCGCACCGGGGTTGGGGGGGAGCGAAGGAGACCAGCCGGCCTGCCGAGCTGCTTCCCTCCTATCCCCGGGGGGCAGGACCACGCCAAACCCGGCCCGCTGCCGCCCATAGCCTCTCCTTGCCGCCGCCCCTCAGAGCCGGCACTCACGTTCGAAATCGTAGTCGTCGTCCTCGTCGCCGCGGTCAGGCTCCTCTTCGCCGTTGGACTCGGTCTGCATGGGCTCCCCATCGAAGCTAACCACCTTGCGGGTGCCACCGCCCTCCTGGTCGCGTGCATCTCGCAGGCGGGCGAAGTAATCGGCGGCGAAGCCCAGCAGGTCGGACGGCCGGTGCCGCAGCACCTCCACCGTGTAACCCTGCAGCAGCTCAGTGAGGCCCGGCGGGATCTCGATGTTCATGGTAGCGGGGACAGAGGAGGCGGTGGCCGCCACGTTCCCCCCACCCCCTGTACCGCAGCCGGTGGCAGCGCCGGGCTCCGGGCCTCCCTCCGCGGGCGATAACTGACACCCTCCGCTCCGGTCACACTGAGCCGCGCCGGAGCGGGGAGGGGGGGGGAAGGAGTGTCTCTGTGTCCGCATGCGCGGCAGCGGGCACGGGGCCAATGGAAGCAGTGCGTGCGTCACTGCGAGGCGCGGCGCGAGGGCGGTGGCGGGGGGCGGGCATGGGGTGACCGGTAGTAAGGCGGGAAGGGGCCCGGGGCGTGCATGGCCCCAGGGGCGGGCACAGCCCAGCCGTGCCGCGGCGGGTTGGGAGGGCCCGGTGCGGGCGGCGCTGGGGCTGCGGCGTGTTCTGGTGTGCCTGCTTCACGCAGAATCCCACACTGGTTTGTGTTGGAAGGGAGCTTAAAGCTCGGAGAGCTCCTGCTACGGGCAAGGACACCTTCCACTAGAGCAGCTTGCTCTAAGCCCTGTCCAGCCTGGCCTTGAACTCTGCCAGGGATGGGGCAGCCACAGCTTCTCTGGGCACCCTGTGCCAGCGCCTCAGCACCCTCACAGGGAAGAGCTTCTGTCTGAGAGCTCATCTCAGTCTCCCCGCTGGCAGGTTAAAGCCATTCCCCTTGGCCTATCCCCTTGTCCAAAGCTGCTCTCCCGGTTTCCTGTAGCCCCTTTAGGCACTGGAGCTGCGCTGAAGTTAAGGAGCCTTCTTCAGGCTGCCCCAGCACAGCTGTCTCAGCCTGGCTCCAGGGCAGAGCTATTTCAGCTCTCACAGCATCTTTGTCATGACCGTATACACTGATTTCTTCTTCACTTTCTTCACAGTGCTTGCGAGGGTGTTTTAGGGCTCCAGAGGAGCAGGAGAGGGCAGTTTTCTTTGATTGCATCTATTATCTAAATCTAGATCACATTCTTGGTTGGAATTAGATTTAGGACCTCCAACTGCTCTTGTTTCTTGTCAGAATTAAGTCATTAAAGAACTACTCTTAAAACTAGTGAGCACAAGAGAAGCATCATGCAGGTCTTCACACCTTTTGGTAAAAGCTGAGTAAATCCATAATACCATCATTTGTAAAACACCAGCAGTCATATTGATCTGCTTAATGCTGAGAGCATTCAAGATTAAGAATTGCCAAAAAGTGAAACATCTCATTAATTGCTTATAGATGAAAGCTTTGGAGATACCTATTCACATGTCATTAAACATGCTTTATTCAGATTTTTGCTTATATTCTCTGAACGAAACCTGTCATCTGTGTGTCCAAGGGAGGTTTGGCCGATGCCCAGGGGTTGGTGACAGGCTGAATGGCTTGGAGCCATCATCCCTTAAGGTTTGACGTTGCTGGAAAGCTAGTCTTGGGAGAAAAGAGGCTTATGCAAACATAAGTGGCTGCTGCATGTTGTCAGTGTAAATCTTTTTATTTAATTCTTTTGTTTCAGCAATAAAAGGGCAGAAATCAGCTTGTACTCAAAATACACAATTTCACTTACTAGCTCAGAATTGGCTGAGGCAACTTACTGTGTGTTTTGGTTTTACTTGCTCATGTGCCAAAGGGTCACCTTGCTAATCCAGATGGTTCCCGCCACACTCCCATACACAGTTAGTCTGTTCATCGCTGTTGCATGGAGGACATCCATGGCAGTGTATCCCAAAGCACCCAGTTCACTGCTTTTACTGACTTTATTCCCCAGGAGAGAAGTTGGAAATCTCACAGCCTCTTCTGTAAAAGGTGTTCTTTGTAATACAGCTCCCGTGTTTTTATGTGAATTAAGATTACATCTTGAATCCATACAGGAATTAAAAACAAGCACAGGAGGTAGACTGGCCACATCTCATCAGTTCATCTGGAGGGTTCATATGAAGCCATTTCATTTTTATTCTACAGCAGGCACAACAATTGCCATATCCCTTTTCTCAAAAGCTGATTTATACTGATTTGTTATTTACCAGCCCTACCATATCTTTTGGTAGTCTCAAGAGCACATTACTCGTTTGTCTTAAATACTGATAGAAGTGGTACAGAGAAATCATTCTGATTAAAGTAAGATGCATGATGAGATCTTTCCATTGCCAGTTCGGTGCTGAAGACATTACTGGGGTGAAATGGTAAGAATGAAATTTTAAAACTGGAAAAAAAAAAAAACAACAAAAAACAAGGTATTGATAAAAAGCTTTGGCAAATAGGGTTAACGTTTGTTCATCATTTTCATTTGTGCCTGTGGATATAGATCTGGTTATTTATATGAAAAAATATGTGCTAGTAAGTATTATTAAATCTCTGAAGAGCTACATTGTGTTAACCTTCTGATATTTATATGTCCACACATAACTAATCAGCTTCTGGGAAAAGCAAACAGCAGAGGTCTGTTTAGCCTCTTTCTGAGGGTCGACGGATGAAATACAAAGCATCCAAGATCACATGAAGCACATATTCAAGCTGATGTACACCAGAGTTTATCCCATTTCTTTATATACCTTTTTATTTTGTGAGCATCAGAATTGATGGCGCATACATGCAAGAGACTTGCCTGCAATGAAGTTAATTGTAATACTGCCTGCTGTGCATACATACAGCTCATCATTTGCTTTCTTTCATCCTGAATTTGCATAACCTTTTTAATTATTACTGTAATAAGCATCCACATTAAAAGAATAGCAGAAAATAAATTAGGAAATGCACTCTGCAGCCTTAATTTGATCCCCTTTATAATAACAATTGTAATTTATGCAGCATGACCAATGCCATTTCTTTCCACTGGCTTCATGCTGTGTTCATCACCCAGTATGGAATTAGATAAGAACTATGTAGCTGAGGAAGCTATTCTCACAGTATTCCCATGAAAATACATGTATTTTTCAGTATCATACTGTCTCCTAATAATTTCTTAGTATCTGAAGGGCTGTTCCCATATTTATCATGTGTCTGTGCTCCCAAATGTTGAGGTTCCTTCACTCTGCCTGTCTTACCCAGTGCTGTGTGACTTTGATGCACCTTTAATGAAACTATGATGGAGCTTCAGTGCTTTTCCCACTAGCAGGAGCAGCAATGGATCAAGCAAAAAAGGAAAATAGTCTGTGTAGTCTTGCACTGGAGAAAAATAATCAGATTAAACCTCGGGGCTGGCTCCTTAAAAAGTAAAATAAATCCCTTCCTAACAAGTAATAATTTACTTCTCATAAACCTGTCAGCACCAGCCAGAGCTCAGACACTATGTAAACATACGTACATCTTGGATTAATTACACTTGCCTTCAGATTCTCTGCAAGTAATTCAGTACAAGGATAATGCAAGAAAACACTAAATATTCTGCTGGTTGGTATCTGTTGTTTAAGGGCATTTAGATTAATTACCACATCTATAGCTTTCATGTGTTGTTGCAAGTGGCACACTAGGAAGACTTCTCAAGTATTTCACAAAGCAGCCCTCCCTACAAGCCTTCAGAGCCTTCTGCAAGCAAAATGAAATCCTGCCTTCACCCTGCTAAGCTGTGGAGTTCAGTGGTGTGGGATGCTTTTGGCACAAAAAAACATGAACTGATGAGGAGTAAACTCAGCAGCAGCTTTGAAATTCAGTGGTTGATTTAGCTTGGAATTTTTGTCAGTTCTAGACATTTTCCTGTTTCCTGCCTGGCAGCTACTTTAGTTCAGTGCAGATTTCTGAAGCCCTCCATCCAACATCATGGAGCTGTACAGTTGAGGACAAACAACTGTTTGATAATCTTGGGCAAAACATTGTAAATCACATGATGTCACATTTTCTGCATCCCATTGTGTGCTGAAGCTAATGACAAGGTTTGTCCCTGTCACCGGTCCTCTAGCATCTCCAGTTCTTCTATTATGGATGTCAGAGGATACATACATGACTACTTCCATCCATTTCCAGTTTGAGGACTCCTGTTCATGATTCTCTCATCTTGTTTTGAATCTTCAAGTGCAGTGTGCTTCCATGGTGCCTCAGGGCAGCAAAGTTCCAGAAGTTAAATACCTGTTAAATAAAGCTACACTTCTCTTTCCTCAGTTTTTAAATGCTCTTCCCAGATTTACCAATTGCCCCCTACTTCTGGTGTTGCAGGATTTGGTGAATGATGGTTCTGCATGTGTTTTATTTGGTGATTTTGTAAAACTTCATCTTCTCTTGCTTCAGCCTTCTTGAAATTAAGGTCTCTCCTCCAAAGGCAGCTGCTTCATTCCCAGGATTATGTTAAATGCTCTTTTCTGTACCAGCTGAACTTTACTATGCCTGTCATGAGCACTGTGCACAGTTCTGGTCTCCACATCTCAAAACGTGTGCTTTACATGGCTTTAATAGCAGAAAAACAGCAGAAAATATGTTCTCTAACACATTCTGTTAGGCGGTTTTTTTGGCTGCCATATTATAATGAACTGAAGATATCCAGTCTTCATAAAATGAGAAAATTCCCCCTTCCCTTGGTCTGTGTCCCAGTGACCACCCTCATTGTAAAAAAAATCTCGAATTTTGTATTTGAAATTCTCTGTTTAACATCAAACTTTGTTTTTCTAACTGCTGCATACTCCTGTCTCTGTAAATGTGCATATACATCATGTATCCGCATGCATAATGTAAACTTCTCAGTTTTCATTTTAGCAGGGAAAGTAACACTAAGAAAAGATAGAGTCATCTGGGCTTACCTACCAGGATGCAGAGATCCTTCAACACAGTGCACAAGATAAAACTGCTTCTCCTGCCTCTGTTTGGTTTTCTTCTTAAGAAAGCTCTAAGCTCCAGAAACCAAAGCTTTGGTACTCTAACAAGCCAGGAGAAATAAATCAGCCTTTTGAATAAATATATATAAATACTGGTATCAGCTGAAGTATGTTACTTTGCCAATGCCTTTAGTCCATCAAAAATATTTTGGATAATTCTTGGGAAGATAGTTTTCTGCATTTGTTGATAAATCCCAAAGTACTGAGTTAGGAGAAACATCTGTATAAATGTCCATATTTTCAATGGCATAATTGAGTTTATGAATGTACAAAACACCGATTCTGTTGGTAACAATTACAATTTTTCAGGCAGTAGAAAACTTCAATTTTAAAATACCTGATTTTGTAAAACATTGGTC